GCAAAATTGTAATTATTCAAGTTATTGAGGATTGGAAGATAATGAAGTTTGGATGATCCAAGTGTGAGAGGCACAAGACAGGAGGTCAAAAATTCACTGATCTAAAGCCCCAAACCAATGGTTAAGCATAATTCAAACTGTCAATCATAAAAATTTTTTGACATTATAAATTTATCCTTAAAAGGTCCAAGAGCTTTGTAGTGAGCTGGGCTTGATCTAAAAAATCATTTAAAAAGGATTAGAAAACAAAAAAAAAAAGAACTTTTCATAAAAAATTTTAAAATACTACAAGCACAAGCTCATTAGAGAAGGGAGAATAAAATTTCCTTAAGTGAATAAGCTTTCCTCTAGGGGTGACTGCCCACATCAATCTCAAACATAACACTAAAAAAGTTACTACTTTTCCTACTCAAGGGTTAATTGACATATGAAAATTGAGCACAATTTAAAACATTGTTATGAAGTTTTAACTTAACTAGGGTCGATCAATTCAACAATATAGTAAGACCAAATCAACTTGAAATGATCCAGGAGATGTTAAAGTTGTTCAAGGTCACTCCCCAAGCATCTTTATAAGATTTTGGTCATTGTTAGAGGACATTTGGGCTTACCTAAATTTGTTGAAGTTTTTTTCTCAAAATCTTAAGAACCCAACAGATATAACTCGGGACCCTTTTAATATAAATCATTAATGTAAACCCTATTACTATCTATCCTACAATAAAACTCAATGCTCTGAGATTTGATCTTGAACATTATACTTAGATTCTTATGGAAATTGGGGATATTTTGAATACCACATATGGATCATCACATTGGTGTAAGTTTGAAGATTGTGTTGGTAGGAGCGATGATGAGAACGATATCTGGGTATGTAAGGAGTAAAGTATGTCCTAGATTCATAAATAGGTCAGGTATTGGCATTGCTACCCCCTAACATTTAATAAAGAGTTACCCCTCGTTCTCATGGGTGATCGGTAGTCTCAGTCCATCTGTGTGACTGATTTTTGAATGTTTGATTTTCAAAAGTACAATAGAAAATGTACTATTTGAATGAAAACCAGTATTTTGTTTGATAAATGTTTACAAAATTCAAACTACTTTTGCAGAACAAATTAAAATTTAATTTATAAAATACTATTCTGGACAAATGCATATGTTAATCATAAAGACCAAGTTGAGGACCACTCTCCTATGGTTGCCTAGTCGGTAGCCATTTAACCTATGTTGGGTCTCAAATACATGATACCTACAAGTTGCCTACGGAGTTCCTTCGAGCAGAATCTCTCGGGCTTCAGTCTTGGTTCTGAGCTCCCCAATTACTAAAATTCTTACACTTAGTCTCGATCTTCTGTATGAGACATTGTGCTTTATTTTATTCATTCGAGTTTTCTTACGAATTGTTTAAGTTTTCCTAGGAATTTCTTATAATTTGTTTAAATTTCTGGCAAATCACTATGTTATGTCGTACTAACCTTGCAACAGTGACAAGAGTCCTAGGTACGCATGTTTATTTTAAATTTACCACACTTTACTGCATTTTTACTACACCTTTTTATTTCTTTTACCTCTGCATTTGTTTATAATATTTGCAAGGGCTCTACGGAAGACAACAGTAGGTCATATGCTAGGAGGTACACTGCGGCATGCCATGAGATTCAACATTAATTACATGTTCACATATAAACCTTAAACCTGGAGCCCCACAATGAAAATGCAATCGAATGATAAAGGACTTCCACCAATGAATCAAGACCCGACATGAAACAAGATCTCTGTCAGCAAAACCATTCTTTATACTTAAATAACCAATCCATAGTACTTCAAGTTTGTCTATATAGTGCGACATAAATCCTCACCTCATCTTTTAGACTTCTGCACAATCATGTCGTGCGACATAAGTCCTAACTCTCTTAGGATTATGAGGTCGTCTTCTTATACGACATAAATCATCCTATCTTCCAGACTATTTGAATGATCAGATATCATGTAGATGTATGCCTTAAGTAATAAATGACAGGAATAAATATCAATAACATCATCTTCAAAGCATAAAACAAAACAATATGATAGTTTTGGAGGTCATCGAGGTTCTTCTCGGATCCATGACATTTTCAAAATATAAAGTGATATTTTGATCATGTTTTTTAGTATCTTATCAAACTTGAGTTTCAACAAAATGTATATCTCGAGATGACCTAAAAGGATCAAATTAGGCTCACTTTGATTGATTCAATTTAGCTAATTTTCAAACAACGATAATCAACCTTGTCGCAAGCTTGAGGCAATCACACTAAATTGATGTAACCTTAATCACTTATGTCGACATCACAACAACTTGAACCAACAAAATCAAGGTTAACTGGTCCCCAACATAAGCTAAGCTAGGCCTTGCACATGATATAGGTTATGTGTGAGGGTTTATCTCTTTAGTAGCATATGATTTTCCCTTGTCATGGCCAATAACAATCATGGAGTCACTAAAATGCAAAGTGCATCGTGACCTTTTTCATCATTATTTTTTTAAAATTATTACTATTTCTACTCACTATGTTTCAACCTAGAACATTTTTTTTTAGCTCTATGATGCTCTTTTAGCATCACAAATTATATCCCTTCATGTATGATCTTAAGGAAGGTTTGATATTTATAACCTACCCAATCATCTATATGTTTCATTAAGGTAAAAAATTGATTAGCCTTGTTTTTCTGAACTAAACACATTTTATCCTTAAAACATCTCCTGACCTAATGGACTGTGGAGGATCCAAAGAATACTTAGATGACCAGCCAATATTTACTTGCCACTAATTAGACAAAATTTAAACCGAAATGACCCATATTAAGGAAGTCAAACGAAATCTATCTCAATTCAATATAGGTGTGACAATTTGAACTCTTACTCATCAATATATTATAGGTTTAATTTAGCCTAATAGCCTCATGATTTTGCCCAAATGGTACAACTTCTTAGGAGGTTGCCCATCTTAAGAGTGCACGCATACACCAAGATGCTCCTCAAAGTTTAAGAATTCTGCTTCATCTACCTAAGGGTTTCACAATAAGTATCCTCCTTAGAGCCTAATCAAACTAAATCAAGCTACTTAGCGTTTACATTATTATTAGCCTACTAGATGCCCTTTAAGACGTTAAATTGTCCTTACATCCAATGTGAACACCTTAACCACCTTGGTGAAGCATGATCAAGCTTCTTCAACACAATCCAATGGTTAGCCCAAACTTAAACCCTAATCTATTTGATGACCTAGTTAGAATCTTTAGTCTATTACAAGGATGATGGACCCAAATTAAGGCCATAATAGTAAAGTTGTATCTTAGGTTGCTCAACTCTGAGACTTGATTTATTGGATGAGCTACTAGGCATCTAGACTCATAGGTGACCCAAATTCCTTATCCTTTATTTTATCAAGTTAATACAAGAAAAAATATGAGAACTCTCAACTCAAACTCATTTAAGAGATTTGGGTATGGGCCAACTCATATATTATGTTGGTTTGGTTTGAATTAGCCCAAGTAGATACAAAATTACCACTTTCGAGTTATGTGAGTTGGGTTTAGGTCAAACCAAAAACAATGACCAAATTCATTGTTTATGATATTTATTATCAATGCACATCATTAGGTCATTTGTTACAGTTTTTATTATTTTAGGCTACATTATTATCATTATTATGCTTATAATATTTATCATTTCTATTTTCATTTCGCGTTACTTCTAAAATTTCACTGCATTCAAGCTTAACATTTTCATGATCTCTAAGCTTGAGTAGTGATTAGCCTTATTTTGTAGCAAATATTCCCTTGGTCTTGTCATTATCACTACCTCCAAATATATTAATAATCTTCTCTTTTAGCTTATATAGTGCTTCAACCCTCAAGGCTATTGCCACCTCACTCGCTAGTTTATCACTAGCATCAGCCTTAACTTTAATACAACCTTCATGTTCATGTTTGTCAATACAACCTTCTTCAAACCTATCATAAACAATATTTTTGGAACTATCATTTTCACCTCCCTCAATTTCTTCATCACCACATCACTTTCTGGTATGTCATGGCCTGAATATATTATCATATCATAAGCAGTAGAAAACTATTTTATTATGATGCCACAAAAAAGCATCTTTGATTGGCATTGTCATTATAACTAAAAAACATCATAATTAATCTTTTTTTTTTTAATATTGAACCATTTAATTCTTTACTGATATTTATAACTAACAAATTTTTATCCATCACACCCAAAATTTTTTTTTGAAAAATTTACATACAGGCCACTCAATTCTTATGTATTTACATAAAAGCTTATTTCACCTTTTTAAAAATTAAAATAATGATATCTTTATGCCATATAAAAGATTTAGATGGTATAAATATAAAAACTAAAGTTTAGATATTAGCCACATAAAAATTTAGTGATATGTATGTATGTAAATGCCCCAATTTTTTTTTCATAAAAATTCATTTCTTTTCGTAGTATTGTCAACGTCCGAAATGCAAGAAACAAAAAACTGCCACAAATCTCCCGTATCGATTCACCGAGATTTCCTCCTGGTCGTAACAAATACGAATTGACAACAATACCGTGACTCAAAATTTACATCTAAAATCAATCACAAAATAAGAGGGAGCTAGATGTCTACTAGAGTTGGCGAGTATAGGGGGGAATATAATACGCTGTCCCACCCTAGAATTGAGGGCCGCGCTTCCTCTTTCCACTCCCATAACAACTAGCTTTCCATGTGATGGTGGGCTTCTCGCTCATGTAGATCTAATCCTTAATTTATTTCCATTACAACCAAAATCAAACAAAATAAATAAAAATGTAATAAATTGTGCCCACTTTTATTGCCACTGCTCTTTAAAATAAATTTTAAAATGAGGCGAGGTATTTGGGGGGGGGGGGGGGGGGGGGAGGCACTTTCTAAAAATTTCTCACAGCAATCACGGATTCCGAATCCGGAACCGCCACTACAGTATACCGGAAGTAAGCTTTTCTTCTTTTTTTTTTTTTTTTTTTTTTTTTTTTTTTTTTCTTTTTTGGCTTCGATGGTTTGTTTTCTTTCCCTCTGCCGCCATGGCCGTCGCCGTCTACCTTGCGTGTTAGAGATAGAAAGAGAAAATGGAAGGAAGGGTATTTTGGTAAATTGTATCAGGAAGAGAAGGGGGCGCGGCGAGGTACCCCCTTCCGCCTCCGTGAGTTAGGAAGCGTGGCCGTGCGGAAGTCGCGTGACCTACCCACCGCCTTGTTCTGCTCCTCCTCCACCCCCTCTTCCCATCGCCGGCTTCCTCCCCCGGCGCTGCTCGCCGCCGGCCTCTCTTCTTCGTCGTCCCCCGGCGGCACGAAGGTCGCGTCCCCATTACGCTTAATTCCCACTAACTGCAACGCAGACAAAGCTCGTCTCATTCAGTTCGGCAAACAGAGAGACCGAGAGGGAAGAGAGAGAGAGAGAGAGAGAGAGAGAGAAGTCATTGGACCTTGCAGCCCAGCGAGCAGAACCGGAAGGGATCGAGCAGCGATCGCGCGCAGATCTCACACGTGTGCGGGGATGCACCCTTCCCGCTGGGACGTGGTTGGGGCCGCTCGTTGAGGAAGAGAACTCTCGCGCTGTTGATCACATATGTCTGAACTCCCCCGATCTCTAGAACCTTCTGGATCTCCGCCACACGAACCACATCGTGGTAAGACGACCGCCGTATCTGTCCTCCGCCGCCACATTACCCGCCGCCGGCAACATTTCCTTTCGTTTAATAGACGCATAAAAAAGAGACAAAGCGAATTTCACAGATCCAATAGAATGCAGCTTCGGCTGACCTGAATCACGCGATGCCCGGCATGTTGCTCCGAGCGACAATAGAGGCAGAATGCACCGGAGCCGGTGTCCCCGCAGTCGAGACAGAACATGTTCCGTTCGTTGCGCGCGGCCTCCGCATGAGCCGAACAAATCGAGAAGAAGGGGGTCGTGAGCAGGGGCTCCAGCCAGGGCGGCACCAGCGATGCCGCCACCCGCCTCATCGTCATCTCGCTGGAGATATCGCTGCCGTCGATCCCACAATGCCGGCAAAATCCACGGATTGAGATGAAGGGGGAGAAGGAAAGCGATGCGCGAACTTAGAGCGCAGCAAGTAAACAACGCCCCCCTTCTTCGCTTGGGGGCATTGCTCGTTAGGAAGGAAGGTATGGTGTAGGCAAGAACCACAGGTTGTGAAGCCGACGGGTGTGATTGATTGGAGTTGATGCGGGGGTTTGCGGACCGTCCGATTTACCCAGGCCGGTTTTGGGTTTTTTTTTTTTGGGGCGCTCGGCGTACGCTTCCTCTTGATCTGTTCTTTGCGTCTCTTCGTAGGTTCGACCACTTGCCTACGCATGGTCGACTCTGGATCCGCTGCTTGGTCCCTTCTACCGCCTACTAGAAAGTGACTCGTGGCAGCCATGTATCGATATTTGTGGGACTCGATTCGTTTGTTGGATGCCACGTCAGCATTGCAATGTCATGATATGATGAAACAGGAAATTATTTTTAAAAAAGGACCTAACCGAAGAGTGATTGAGGAATCGCACGCCTATTTTAGTTAAATTGAATTTGTTGTAATATTAATTTTGATTGATTAATTATATATTTAGTAGTATTGAAAATAGTTAATTTTAAAAAGTGGCAAAGTAAATAAAACATTTTTCTAATGCATAAAATAAATCAAAAAAGTAAATAGTTATTTATTTAGTATTATTGATGATATATTTTGGCATAATAAATTAGAATGACCATAAAAAGTATCATAAATTATCATGAAACTTTTTTTTGTTATATATATCATTGACAAGTTACTAATTTCCATATAAATTCTATTCTCCTTTTGCTCCATTACGGCGTAACTCTAAAATAGAAATAACATAAACATTTAATAATTATATTTTTCAAAAAAAAAATTAATGAATTTCAATTTATTTGTTTTCTTAATATTATTCCATGCCATGCGGTTGGGAACGACGCGGCGGGGAAGAAGTGGGCCCAAGATGGCGCACACGTGGATGAGGTGGGCTTCTGTGTGTGATCTGGCGTGACGGTGGGTGGCTGTACCATCCCGCCGGCTTTATTAGACGATTTTAACCTTGGTAATTTCACGGAATGAGTCGGCTGACGTCGGATGGTTGGGCCGGCTGGGCCGGCTGAGCGAGCAATATGAGAAATTAGACAGGTGTCAGTTATCTGGGTGACGAGGGCATCCATATAAATTCATCGTCATATTTTAAATTACAAAATTTGCCTGTTCATACGTTTGGACAATGGGCTTGCGTCATACTTTTAGTCTTTTTGGTTGTCAGTTTCGTTTGGTGCCAACTGTGAGCCTAAGCCAGGAAAAGATGTAGTAGGAGGACTTCTTCCATTTGGCTAGAAGATTGTAAAGTTTTTTTTTTTTTTTTTTTTAATCAAAATGATTTACAGGTATTTTGTATTTTTTTTTTTTTTTGCAAATTAATTTGTTGTCGGGTAATTGTTTCTCTCACATATGGCAGGCACAAATAAATTAAGAAGATCGAGGCACCACCTCTCATATACAATGAAATTGGTATGAATGTAAATGCCCCTTTAATCAAAGCTCTCGTTTCATCATTTGTTCTCCCGCATGCTCGAAACCCTTTTTTCCTCCCTGTTCTTAATAGAAAAGTAAAGTATTACGCTTGTTCAATTATATATAATCTAGTGTAATATTTATTTTGCAATTTGTCTTCAAATGTAAAATCACTCATCTGCCTACGCATTCTCATCTCAGCAACAATTAACATAACTTTATGCTTCTCAGACTACTATCGCTAGAATATTGTCACATGTTGACTTGATTGTCATAATCATTCTACACTAATCTTTATAAGACAATGAACATCATTAATATTAATCGCACTACATGATGTATTGATTGTTGTTATGTTTTAGGTTATTTATGGATATTTGTACAGTAAAGTCATGAATGTATAATCAATCATATTTGGATAAAAAAGAAATCATTGTAGAGTTTTTGAACTGTGTGGAGTCCTTTGTAGCAGTTGCATCGCATCCACCGATGTACCTATCTAAGAGTAGGTTCTGGAGTCCATGTTCATAACAAAGAAATCGAGCACACTTAACACTTGACCGAGTAGGATATGATTTATGTCATTGGGGATTTCAGCCTAATTACTAGATTTTGACTTCACCTGGGGAGGTAATAAATTGTTTTGCCCTGCTTTAAAGTGGGTGATATCAGGATAATTAGGGTATTTTTCAAGTATGAGCATAACTATCATCTAATTGTTTTCTATGTCGGTCGGGTAAGCCAGTTTGGTATCGCGTTGGCGGGATCAGGACAGTCAACTAAGTTTGGTCAAGTCAAGTCAAGTTGATTTGATATGGGTCGATCAATTGATCTAAATTGGTTGTCAATCCTTGATAAATAGTGAGGAACTTCCGGGAATCCCTAGATGATTAGAGATACTGCAAAACTAGATCTTCCCTTAGATCAGCTCTACTGATAGGCTATCACGTCGGGTCAACATTCTTATAGTGGTTGGCTCAAACATCCTCTTTAATTATATCTAATTTAATTACCCGTGCTTGTATCCTCTGGTCCTATTCGGTACTTCTTGTGACACTAAGGGAAAAATCTCGATTAGAGTTGGGCATTTCCGATGCTAATTGGGTCATTTTCTAATGCTAATTCAGATTAGCGTCAGAATAACATCGTGTCTTTTCTGGCGTTAAATCGGGTGTTGCTAATTTATTTTGCGTTGACATTAGCGTCGGGTTTTAGTTTACATCCGAATTAGCATAAAAAACAGCTGTCACTAAAAAAATACCATCAAACAAGCAAGCTACGTTGGCGTAACGACGAAATAGCGTAAAAAATTTTGTCGTTGTTTAGCGTCAAACATGGCCGACACTAGTTAGCATTGGTCATATCCAACTTTAATCAGCGTCGAACTTTTTTGATGCTATTGCGTTGTTTTAGTGGAGGCTTGTATCATTGGGTAGTTGTAGGTTTTAGCATTGGAATTCTCCTACGCTAATCTGTATGAAATAAAAAAAAAATACAATAAAACATCCTTTGGAAGTTAACAAGAAGCCTAAAAACTTGTCGGTTGAGACATCAAAGGTGCATTTTGAAGGATTTAGTCTCATATCAAATTTTTAAAGTGTTTTGAAGGTGGTTTTAGGTCTTCTATGTGTTGCTCAACTGACATACTTTTTACAAGGACATCATACACATAGTCTTCAACATTTTTCCTTTTAGATTTGAAAATATTACATTCATGAGGTGATGCTAGGTTGCCCCAGCATTCTTCAACCCGAAGAGCATTGCATTAACTAAAAAATTTCTTGCACGACAATGAAAGAAGCCTTTTCTTGTCAGCCAGATGCATTTTTATCTAGTGGTAGCCAAAGAAGACATCGAGGAAACTATTTATGGAATACCTAAGGAAACTCATCAGGGAATACCTATCCGTGACCAATGTGTGGATCCATAGTAAAGGGTAGGCATACTTTAGGCAGATGAAATTTTGATTGGTGAAGTTAATGCATATCCTCTTTTTATCGTTGAGCTTTTGAACCATTACTACACTTGAGAGCCAAGTCAGATATTGGACTTCTGGAATGTAGCCTACCTCCTTCAGTTTTTGGACTTCTACTGCTATTAGATCAGCTAGGACTCTCGCGGTCAATAAAAAATTTTGCTGCACTAATCGAGAAGATGGGCCGATGTTGAGTTGATGATGGCAGGCAACGTCAATCGGCACTCTAGGCATCTTTGCAACTGTTCAGGCAAACACAACCCAATGTTGGGGAAGGGTCTCGATCAGCAGGTTCTTGTATCTTGCATCAAAACTTTCACTAATTTGAGAAATCTTACCAAGTTCTCCCTCATCGGCAGGAGGCACTTAAAGGATTGGTCAACTGGTTTTCTCTGTCAGAAGGGATTCCACCATCAGAAAATTCTTCGTATTGGTAAACTATTTTTCTCACTCTCCCCATGAGAAGGCTGGGATGATCACCTCCAAAGCCTTCTTCTGTTTGACTGGAGAAGTCGAACAGTGGACCAGTCATTGTCGCCAATCGGTCTGCCTTGAGTCCCATCTTATCAAACGCTGATTTGAATAGGATGTTTACTGAGCTTCTGATGCCGACCAGGATGCTGCCTAGCAGCGCCTCTTTGTATGGGTTTCTCTTTTGCAGGAGATATTCACCTTTAAATGTAATCAAAGGGTGAGTGCAAGTGTAAGGAGTGATGGTACAATCCTCCCTTGATCTGTGCCTCCTCAGGCTAGATGGTCAGAGTAAACCTCCTCCTGCTCTGAAAATAGCCAGGATGAATCTAGCGAGGTGGATTTCGTTCATCCTCATTGGTCCGTCCGCGAGCTTCTCTACTGAGGTCTTCCCCTGTCGCTATGTATGCTCCAATGGTGAGAAAATTTTTCAACTTTCTGACCTTGATGAGCTCCTCCACCAAATTTAAGAGATGATGACACTCCTCCGTGTCATGTCCATGGTCCTGATGGTAGGTGCAATACTTATTCGGATTGTGTAATGTTGTTCCAGTCATTAGTGGAGGGGCTTTTGTGAAGTAGTTCTTGTTTTGAATGGGTTGGACTAGCTCGTCCATTGATAGGTTCAAGGGTGTCGAACCTTATACACTAGATAGACATGTGGTCACTCTAGTATTGAGCAGACTATTGGTTAGAACAATATCGTTGATCCTTACTAGCTCGGTCACTCCCTCGGTCGTCCTAAGATTGAGGATTCTCAGTCTATTGGTCGTCAGGGGCTCGATCACGCTTTTGGCTTCTATCATGATGACTGGTGGTTTGATGCCTTAGGTTCAGTGTTTGAGGACTCCATAAGGTCTTCTTCGGTAGTGATGTGATTATTTGCTAATTCCAAGACCTCTGCAAAGGTCCTTGGTTTGAGTAGGTTCAGGTCACACATGAATTACTTTTTGTGGATCCCCTGCTTCAGAGTGGTCTAGGTGATGAGAGGCTCCAAGTTCTTCACCTCCAACATTTTTTTTCTAGAAAAGGATTGTGTAAGCTTGTAGGCTTTCATTTTCTCCTTGCCGGATATGGAGCAGGTTTTTTGTATCCTTCCTTGGCCTCTGCACTTTGGCAAAGTGTGCCATGAAGAGTTCTTCAAAATTAATAGAAGGATGGGATGATCTCGTCCAGTAAGCTGTTAAACCACCGAAGTGCGGCTTCTTTCAAAGTGGTCAGAAAAAGCTGGCATTTCTTAGTGTCATTGATCTGCAGGACTTCAAGAATGGACTTAAAAAAGCTAGGTGGTAAGCTGGGTCACTCTTCCCTTTATAAGGATCTATGTGAGGAATCCTTTGCTTTGATGAAGGTATGGTTTGCAAGATTCTTTGGGAGAAGGCACTACCCATAGCGGGTCAAGCAAACGTTCCCACTTGGTTTGCCGTCATAGATGTGATGTTATCTACCAGTTTGGAATCTACTGACCTTTTGGTTGGCCAATCATAGGGCCAACCTTGGGGCTCTAGT